TTTTATTTATTTATTTTTTCCCATTTATTTATTTTATTGCATTTTAGGTTTTGGGGTACATGTGAGGAACATGCAAAATTGTTGCATAGGAACACATGTGGCAGTGTGATTTGCTGCCTTCCTCCCCATCACCTACATCTGGCATTTCTCCCCTTGCTATCTCTCCCCAGCTTCCCACCCCCCACTGTCCCTCCCCTATTTCCCCCCAACTGACCCCAGTGTGTAGTGCTCCCCTCCCTGTGTCCATGTGTTCTCATTGTTCAACACCCGCCTATGAGTGAGAACATGCGGTGTTTGATCTTCTGCTCTTCTGTCAGTTTGCTGAGAATGATGGTTTCCAGGTTCATCCATGTCCCTACAAAGGACCCAAACTCATCGTTTTTGATGGCTGCATAATATTCCATGGTGTATATGTGCCACATTTTCCCTATCCAGTCTATCGTCGATGGGCATTTGGGTTGGTTCCAGGTCTTTGCTATTGTAAACAGTGCTGCAATGAACATTCGTGAAGTTTTTTTTTAACTTTTTGACTTTTTGTGATAACACAGCTTAAAACACAAACATATTGGACAGTGGTACATAATATTTTCTTTCCTTATGTCTTGGGATAAACAAACATATTGCTCTGCCAGTCTTACGAAAGTATAGCACATACAATTATGTACACAACATAATACTTAGTAAACAATTGTTACTCCTTTATGTATTCACTATGCTAAATTTCATGTTATTATTTTAGAGTATACTCTAGCTTATGAAAACAATAGTTAACTGTAAAATAGCTTCATGTAGGTTATTCAGGAGGTATTTCAGAAGAAGGCATTGTTGTCATAAGAGACAACTCCACGTGTCCTGAAGACCTTCCAGTGGGACAGGATGTGGAGATGGAAGACAGTGAGAGTGATGACTCTGACCCTATGTAGGCCTAGGCTAATGGGTACGATTTGGGGGTTTTGTTTGTTTGCTTGTTGAGTTGGAGTCTCACTCTGCCACCCAGGCTGAAGTACAGTGGCTCAATCTCGTCTCACTGCAACCTCCGCCTCCTGGGTTTAAGCAATTCTCCTGCCTCAGCCTCCCAAACAGCTGGGGGACTATAGGCACGCACTGCTATGCTCATGTGTGTTTCTGTATCTCAGTTTTTAATAAGTTTAGAAAGTAAAAAAATAAAAATAAATTTTAATAGAAAAAGCCTTATAGATTAAAGATATAAGGAAAGAAAATATTTTTGTACAGCTATCCAATGTTTTTGTGTTTTAAGCTGTGTTATCACAAAAAGCCAAAAAAGATTTTTTAAAGACTTAAAAGTTTATAAAATAATAAAGTTACCAGAAACTAAGATTAATTTATTATTGAAGAAAGAAAAATATTTTTAAAATTAATGTAGTGTAGCCTAAGTATCCAGTGTTTATAAAGTCTACAGTAGTATACAAGAATGTCCTTCACACAAACTCTACAAAATGGCTTAGATTAAATCCATTGTATACATCTTAGCTGTAGTTATTTATGGCTGTGAGGTACACTGGATGATTAGGTGTGAGTGTGGACAAGGAAGGTATGCCTTGAAAAACTAGAATAAATAAGCTAATATCCAGTACACAATTCACTGTCTCCCCCAGAAAACCAAATACCAGTTTTTCCATTATTTTCTCATGCTTACTGTAAAATAAATTCTGAACTTACCAAAAATACTAAGAAAAATGGAAAACTGTAATTCTACTCTTCCAGGATAATTTCTGCTAATATTTTTATGTATATCCAACCAGAATTTGTTCTATGCAAATATGCACATAGAGCCATCTCTCCATTTCAAACGTCTTATTTTATAACAAGAAATTTTCATTTAACATTAAATATCTATCTCTTTTTAAAAAGACTGAGTATGACTCTAATCTAATGCTACGCTTGATTCGGTCCATCCCATATTGTTATGGGTTATGTTGTTTTCAATATTTTCCTACTATAAATTATATCAAAATGAACACACTTGTTCTACTTTTGAGCATTTGTCCAGTTAGGACAAATTCCTAGAAGTAGGATTATAGGTCAAAGGTATTCCCTCTTTAAAAGTCTTTTGCTTTGTTGCAAATGTGAACTGAAATAGTGTGTACCAATTTACATTTCTCCCTAGCAGACAACAAGTGTGTTCATTTGCAGACAACCATCCAAAAATCCTCAGTCTTGTTAATATTGATTAATAAGAAAAACAAGTGTCTCGCTTGTGGTTTAATTTGCATCCCTTGATTAATTGAAAGGTCAAATATTTTATTCTTATACCATTATGCACTACATAACAATGTTTTGGTCAGATAGACTGCATATACAAGGCAGACCACATATACAATGGTAGTCCCAGAAGGTTATAATGGAGCTGAAAATTTCCAATCACCTATTGATATCACAACCATCCTATTGTCATAATGCAATTCATTACTCACATGTCTGGTAGGAAGTTTGAGGGAGGTGAAATTTATCTGCAACATGCTCATGGTGCATTTTTCAGTTCATTTTTTTGTGTGTGTGATCCTCCTTTCCCAGGCTTCGGTCATGACTTGAAAATCCTCAGATGTTCTCCTATTCCACCAAATCTGAAAGGTCATTGAGGAAAGGAGCTAATTATCTAGTAGGCATTCACATGTAAAGAATGTAAAGAATTCTTAAGATTTACCTTGACATATTTTTCTGATCTCATTGTAATGACCTAGGCAAGTGAAATCTGAATACTAGCATTCTAGGTATCAGAAACAAACTAGCAGAAAAATTACAGTTGTGCATGTGCCTGTGTGTCTTATAAACTGTGTGTTGCCTCTCAAATCATATCACAGAGATAGCCAGATGCTAACCGTAGAACAAGTTAAGTCCAACTTATATTTCAAGCAACATAACGTTGGCTGGATGTGTCTGTAAATGAGCATGAAATATAAGAGAAAATGATCTGTCAAGCAATCTATTGGAATCGACGATACACTGCCAATGCTCATTTGGTTAACATCCATCTAGCCAGGTTTTCTGATCTCATCATGGAAACACCCTAAGTGAAGAGTAGAGTATACTGTGCTATGTGCAATCACAGGTGTATGTACAAAGCAAATACTTATTATGAAGGAAGTTGTGATGAGTTCTGTTGTAAATTCAGAGGCAACCAGGGAAAGCATCACAGAGAAGATAATATTTAAGCAGAGATTGGGCAAGATAAATAAAACCTTAAGAGACAGAAAAAGAAAATGGTTTAAATCAACCTCTTTAATTTTTAGTGGATAGTAGTATGTATGAAGATTCTGTTTCTTTTTTTTTTTTTTAACAGGTGTTGGGGTCGATGACATGTTTATCATGATTTCTGCCTGGCATGAGACCAGCCTCGCAGATGACATACGACAGCGGATGTCCAGTGTCTATTCCAAAGTGGCAGTATCCATTACAATCACCACCATTACTAACATCCTGGCCTTCTATACAGGGGTTATGAGCTCTTTTAGGTCCGTACAATATTTTTGCATCTATACAGGAACAAGCCTGTTATTTTGCTATTTTTATTCCATCACCTGTTTTGGAGCATTTATGGCCTTGGATGGTAAAAGAGAAGTAGTCTGCTTACGCTGGTTGGAAAAGTCTGACCCAAAATGGTCCTCATTTAAAAAGTCCTGCTGTTTCCCCTTTGGTGCTGTTCCAGATGAACATGGAACTGATAGCCATCCAGTGACTTTGTTTTTTAGAGACTATTTTGGCCCTTTGCTCACAAGCACTGAGTCCAAGTTTTTTGTAGTCTTTCTATACATTTTGTACCTCACAAGCAGTATATATGGGTGTTTCCAAGTGGAGGAAGGTTTAGACCTTCGAAATCTGGCAAGTGATGATTCCTACATCACACCATATTTTAATGTAGAGGAAGGTTATTTTTCAGATTATGGCCCCAGGGTTATGGTTATTGTTACTAAAAAAGTTGACTACTGGGATAAAGATGTTAGGCAAAAACTGGAAAACTGTATTAAAAATTTTGAAAAAAATTACTATATAGATGGAAATTTTACAGAGTTTTGGTTAAGTGCATATGTGCAATATTTAAAAGGTAAGAGCCAAGATCCTAATGATAAGAATACTTTTCTGAATAATATTCCTGATTTTTTTAGCAATTTTCCAAATTTTGAGTATGATGTTAATATTTCATCATCAAATGAAATCATTTCTTCCCGGGGCTTCATTCAGACAACGGATGTTTTTTCCTCAAAGGATAAGAAAATAATGTTATTCCAATTACGAAGCATAGCTGAAGACTGTCAAATTCCCCTAATGGTGTATAACCAGGCATTTATATATTTTGATCAGTATGCTGCAATAGTAGAAAACACTGTTCGAAATGTCATGGTGGCATCGGCAGCTATGTTCATTGTTTCCTTATTGTTAATTCCTCATCCAATGTGTTCCTTGTGGGTGACTTTTGCTATTGGTTCTGTGATTGTAGGAGTAACGGGTTTCATGGCATTCTGGAAAGTTAATCTTGATTCCATATCCATGATTAATCTTGTCATTTGTATAGGGTTTTCTTTCGATTTTTCTGCACACATTTCCTATGCATTTGTTTCTAGTCCTCAGCCCTCAGTAAACCAAAAATCAATTGAGGCGTTATATCTTCTAGGCTACCCAGTGTTACAAAGTGCAGTTTCAACGATAATAGGGGTGTGCGTTTTAGCTACGGCAAAAGCATACATCTTCAGAACATTTTTTAAGATTATGTTTCTTGTTATGGTATTTGGGGCTGCTCATGGCCTAATTTTTATTCCAGTATTCTTGACCTTTTTTTGAAGGTTTATTTGAATATCCACTAACAAATCAAAGACCAATTCTAGAATTCTTGATTGCCCCAATCCAATCTGATTTTTTTAAATGCACTGTTAATAATAGTCAACAAACTTGTTGGGAAGCCAAAGCGGGTGGATCACCTGAGGTCAGGAGTTCAAGACCAGCCTGGCCAACATGTGAAACCCCGTCGCTGCTGAAAACACAAAAATTAGCCACGTATGGCAGCATGCACCTATAATCACAGCTACTTGGGAGGCTGAGGCAGGAGAATTGCTTGAACCCAGGAGGCAGAGGTTGCAGTGAGCCGAGATCATGCCATGGCATTCCAGCCTGGGTGACAAGAACAAGACTCCTTCTCAAAAAAAAAAAAAAGTATAGTCAACCAACTAAAAACAAGGTCATGTTTCCTTGACTTGGAAATCCCATTTTAAATTATTATTTTAAATATCCTGATAAAAATTAATTAGTCTTATGTTAAAATATCTTCACTAAATTAGGAAGTGTTATCTTTCTTACAGTCTTTACAATCAAGTATAAGGTACAACTTTTCAGTTATGTTTTCCCTTTATATTTATGCCTGGAATTCAACTATTGTATATATTATTTATACTATAAATGGAATATTATTTTCATTGTACTTGCTGTATGCATTCACATGTGAAAATGCATCTTATTTATTTTCCCATTCAGGGGATTTTCTATGCATTTTGTTAATGGTATATTTTGATAAGCAGAAGTTTTTAAAGTTTATAAATCCAATTTATCTTTTTTTTTTTTATGGTTAGTGCTTTCTGTATCCTAAGAAATATTTTGACTACTCCGAGGTTACAAATAAAGTCATCTGTGTTTCCTCCTCTAAGCTAAGAGTTTTGATTTTACATTTAGGTCTGTGATCCATATATGTGTATTTGTTGGGCAGTATGGATAAAGGTTCACTTTCTTCCTGTAAAAGCTGCCCATTTGCCTCAGCATCATTTGTGAAAAGACTATCCTTCATCATGCATTAACCTGGCACCTATAAAAAAACCAATTGGCAATTTATGTGTGGTTGTAATTCTGTGCCATTGATTTGTTTGGCTGCACTAAGACCAACATCAGCACACTGCCTTCATTACTGAAGCTTTGTATTCATTATTGAAATTAGCCTGTGTATGTTATCCACTTTTATCCTCATTAATCTTTCTGATTTCAAAGTTGATCTGTGTTATTTTCTTTTTTTTGGAGAATTCACCTGTGACGCTCTCACTCCGGCTGGAGTGCAGTGGTGCGATCATAGCTCACTGCAGCCCAAACCTCCTGGGCTCATGTGATCCTCCCACCTCAGCGTCCTGAGTAGCTGGGACTACATTTGTGCCATTACATCTGACTATTTTTTTCTTTTAATTTTTTTTAAAAGACAGGGTCTTGCTGTGTTGTCCAGGCTAGTCTTGAACTCTTGGCCTCAAGCAATTCTTCTGTCTCAGCCTCCCAAACTGCTGGGATTACAGGTGTGAGCCACCATACCAACATTTTGTTACTTTTTTATCTTAAACTCTATAAACCAATATTGTTTTTTAAAGAAGGTATTCATCATAATAAAATTATACTGTAACGAAGCAATTCATTTTTGCCCTGGAACTTGGTTTTGGCCCTTGAATTTAACTCGTCACACCAGTGGGTTGGGAAAAGTGAAAAACAGCAACAGTGTAGAAGTTCTATTAATGATTAGAAATGTTAGCTATTTAAATGTAATCTTGCCTAAAGGTTTTAGCTGTGTTCTTGCTGTTTTGAAATTAGTGGCTCCAGCTCCTTAGTTCTCTCTCCCAGACATCAATTCCAAATTAGTTTCTTTTCCTCACTAAAAATACTGGGCGGAGGGGGGAGGGGGTAATGTCAGCACAAACGGGGTAGAATGTAGTTCCAAGAGCCCATTTCACCACAAAAATTAAAAATTGAAAAAAGCAAAAATTGTTAGAAAAGACTCTAATTGAACTCTGGAAAATGGTTCAAGGTTTACACCAACCAACTGGTTGAATCTGATTCAAGTGGACCTTGAATCAGAAAAAAAAGCAACTTAAAAATGGTAGGAAAACCTTGTGTCATTTTTATCTGCCCTTATCTCACCCCCTTTCCCTGGCTTGATAGTGACAGCGGTCCTAAGAAGGTAGCCTAGGCCAGGCGTGGTGGCTCACGCCTGTAATCCCAACACTTTGGGAGGCCGAGGCAGGTGGATCACCTGAGGTCAGGAGTTCGAGACCAGCCTGGCCAACATGGTGAAACCCGGTCTCTACTAAAAATACAAAAATTAGCCAGGCATGGTGGCACACGTGCCTGTAATTCCAGCTGAGGGGGCTGACGCAGGAGAATCACTTGAGCCCAGGAGGCGGAGGTTATAGTGAGCTGAGATTGTGCCATTGCACTCCAGCCTGGGTGACAGGACAAGACTCCGTCACAAAAAAAATTTTTTTAAAAGAAGCTAGCCAACATGTATTTCTACCAGGTGTGGGACCCAGGTTCCTAGTTCCAGAGAAAGAAAAGATCTCATTCACAAAGAGTTTGTCTATATAAACATGTCTACGAGCTGTTGGAAAACTGACACAAAGCACTTATCCTTGTTTCACCTTACCCAGAACTCACTCATGGTGAAAAGGCAGAAGAATTTCTTTAAAACATTTTAAGGCAAATGAACAGCCCACAAACACCAGGGTCAAAAAGTTACTGTTGAGGTATTCAATAGTGCCCAAAAGCCAGGGAGGAAAGGCTAGGCAAAGAGTTTCTTTGTCAAATTAAGGCATTCAAAAGCACCTTTATATACTGGGAATTTGTGCATGTGTGTCTTTAAGACAGAGTCTCACTCTGTCACCCAGGCTGGAGTACAGTAGCATGATCTCGGCTTTCTGCAACCTTTGCCTCCCAGGTTCAAGCCTCCTGAGTAGCTGGTACTCTAGACAGGCACCACAGCACCCAGCTAAGTTTTATATTTTTAGTAGAGATGGGGTTTTGCCATTTGGCCAGGCTGGTCTCAAACACCTGACCTCAGCTGATCCACATACTGAGAATTTTAAAGCCATGCACATGCTCAGGGCAGGGCACATACTCAGAAAGGATCTGTGAAAACTTGAAGCTTTAACCTCTGGCTGATCACTCCAGTCCAGCAGGAAGTGAAGGGGATGCTGTAGCTCCCTTGGGGTATGTGACCCCAAAGGAGCCCACCAAGGTGATGCTTCCCTGGGGTGCCTCACCTCTATGGGATCGCACAAGGGTAGGGGGCAGGCCCAAGCAATACCAGGGTGCTAGGTCTCTCTAGTAGCACTAGTAGTCTCCATGAGCAAATGGATGTATTCCCAGAAGATACCAAGCAACTCACAGGGGATGCTGCAGCTTTTCCTGTGGCTACTTGGGGCCCAAGATTCAAACACATGCCTACCAAAAATATGGCATTATTTAGTGATGGCTCCGTGAAACTAAAAGCAGGTGGGGTCCATTGGGCTGTATCAGTGGATGGCCATCTTTTGACTCAGACTGAACACAGATGTTCCAACCAACCAACCAAACTACCTGCAGTGGTAATGGCCAAGCAGGCCACCCCTACCACCATATTGCTACATTTTCACTGCCTCATGGGACATTGCCAGCAGCCTAGCCAAATGGTCAGGAGAATGGTGGCTGAGTGACTAGACTATTAAAGGATCCCCTGTGTGAGGACAAGGACTATGCCAACAGCTTCCTGCCTGGAAGAGACAAATACATGTCACTCATGTGGACACTAGGAATACCATAGCCACCGTTGAGATAACTTATGTCATGTTTTTTGGATACTCTGCGAGATGTCCTGTTAACCTACGAACATCCTTCACTGCCCAAGCAACAAGACACGTGTTACACTTTCAGAGGATATGATGAGCTTCCATGCACCCTGTTATGCATCAGCCAGTGAAACCATTAAATGATGGAACAGCCGATTCACACAGCAACTGAGGAGAGAACATCACGGCAACCTGCTGGTGGGATGGTACCTGGGCACTAAACGCAATGAAAACACAGCATTGTAACACATGTTGAGAAACACTGAACATGGTAAGGGTGGTGGTGGACCAGGCAGCTGCCTGATTGGCCTGAGCCTGCAAAATCCTCATGTTTCCAACAATTCTTTTTTTGCTTTAGAGAGCATGTCCTGTGGGTGGTTTGCAGTCAGCCTGCCACAGTACCCCAGATAGGGCCCTCTGACTCTAATCTGGAGGCAATACTTCCCCTCAGTGCCTCTCCTCCCCTCTATGTGATCTCACAAGAGTGAGTGACAAAACCAAGGAATACAAGGGTGCTAGGGTCCCTCTAGGAGCACTAGGGACATCGGATCCTTCCAGTCAGGTGGGCAGTGTTATCACGCATATTAAGTTTGTACAGGACACGACCTCTCTTCTTAGACTGGACAACTGCGACCAAAAGGTCTGGGTTAAGCAGTAAGGGCAAGGGGTGCCCTCAGAGGTGGCAGCCACAGGATAGGGACAGATAGACTAGGTCACTACACCAACTTAACCCTTTTTTTTTTTTTTCTGAGATGCAGTTTCACTCTTGTTGCCCAGGTTGGAATGCAATAGCGCATTCTCAGCTCACCACAACCTCCACCTCCCAGGTTCAAGCGATTCTTCTGCCTCAGCCTCCCGAGTAGCTGGGATTTCAGGCATGCACCACCACACCCAGCTAATTTTTGTATTTTCAGTAGAGATAAGGTTTCTTCATGTTGATCAGCCTGGTCTTGAACTCCTGACCTCAGGTGATCCACCCGCCTCGGCCTCGCAAAGTGCTGGGATTACAGGCGTAAGCCACCATGCCCAGCCCAATTCTTACCTGATAAGCAGGAAACACCTGGGCCCCCTGGACAGGTGGGAGTGGGACACGAACCTGTCAATCTGCTTTTTCCACAGGATGTGGCAGCAGAAGCCTGGGATTGTAATGCTTTAGTGGACTCTTTCAAGCTGTGGCCAGGGCAGGCAACCTGACAAAGTGTTGGATCTGCCACCCTGGACCTCCTCCTGTCATAGACCACAGCAACCCTCTCTTTCTGCCAGTGGTAAACTAAACCATTGAATGAGTCTATTCTCACA